GAATCAAAAACTCAATGTATTATTTATAATAAAAGTATAACTGTCAAAATTCTAGTTCTTTAGTAATTAACTTCTCTACAAGTTCTTTAATCATTTCTTTTATTTAGCTTCCGCTTCTTACATTAAGCCTCTTGTAATTCTCATTATCAATGAAGTTTAATTTCTTTTCCAGTTTTGTTGATAAATATATCACATATCGACTCAGTTCTTTTTCAATGTATTCGAAGAAATTCCATTTCTATTTTATCAATTATCTATCCGTTACACAGTCATTTCAACAGATTTCTTACCAATTCATCCGATAATGGTTCCGGTTCATCCGTAAAGGTCAAAACACCTTTGTATTTGAGTAGATCTCGTGCCATTGTTTTTGCTGAAAATGAAAAGAAAATCAGTACATTGGTATATACAGCGATAAACGAGTCGATTTAGTGGTATCAAAACGGAAGGAAGAGTTATGCACGTCCGAACAAATGATTTTTATGACATACAATCACGGAAACTATAATTTTGACCGACAAATTTCCGGGACGTGAGAAAAAATTAGGGAGAACCTCACGAAGCAACCGTTAAGGAGATGGAATGAATGAATGGATAAATGAAAGCTTGACTGTAACAGTATTATAGGGTGAAGGAGGAGTAACCTACGCAAATTGGAGTTTGAGTGAAAGAGGAAAGAATGCGAAAATGAGGGAAGAAGGAGAGAGGACATGAGAAACGTGAGAAAATGTACGTGCATTTTGCGATTATAGAACGCAGCGAATTTTTGGATGGAAACACGGAGGAGGGGCTCTCTTGCAGTGCGATTTCGTTTCGCTTCCTGGGAATACTGTCGTTGAAGGAGGTGTGGGTACTGTAATTATGAACAAGAAGCCTCGCAATGTGATTTTTGGCTCGCTCGAGAAATATCGGTTACGTGAGGCGCGAGATTTGAATTTCGAGGTAAATTAGAGCGTTTGAAAATTTCCTGTGAATGTCTTGTTGATATGGGCGAAAATACTCAGAAAAGTATGGCCAAAATACTCAGAAAAGTATGCCCATTCTGAGCCAATTTTCATAAAACTGGTTTAAATTTTTACCTTAATTTTTCGTGATAATATTACGACACAATTATATCTTTTGAATTTGTCATTTGTTTCATCCGAATTGAATGAATCGATTTATGGGTCATTATGAAACTTGCTGAAACGTATGCTTTTTGCCCCTTAGATTGTCATCACTTTTATGATGCACCTTTAAACGTCTAATTGCTTCTTAAGTAGTGCAATTTTATTGCATCTCATAAAATGAGATTACAAATGTACTACTCATTGCCTCCATTTTTCGCGTATATTATTAAGCGTACGTCATATTCATCACGCA